GGAGGCCTGATGATGATATTGCCAATGCTGGTGATGATGTTGATGATGGCAACAGTGCGTCTGATATGATGATGATGCTGCTGCTGCATGTAGTAGTGTTGATGATCTATATGACTACATTGCTACTGATGATGCAGGAGATGATGATGATGACAGCAGCAATACTGCTGCTCGAGCTGCTTGGGATAGTGATCATGGCTACGACAATGCAGATATGATGATACTTGTGTTAATGCTCACAATGCTAGTAGTCGTGGTGACAGTACTGACCATGCTGGTCGAGATGATGAAGATGGTGATAATGTTGACCATTTTCGAATTAAGGAGCAGCATGATGCTTGTGGCAGTGCTGTTGATGCATTAATAATGATAATGACAACTACTATCTACGTGACTTTACCGAAAGAACCAAGAATACAACTACAATTCAGCTAATGCTTCTGAAGATATTTGCGATTAAGATGATAGTGATGGTGATGACGCTGTTGGTGGTCGTCAGTGAGCCCCGACTGGAATGTAAACTCGTGACCTCGTTGCTGTGAGCTCTGTTCCTAGACATCTCGACCGTGGTGCACATAACACAATACCGCACGCGTTGCCACTAATGTGGCATGCACACAGCAGTGTCTGTGTGTCTTCAAAATACCGGACTCATTTGGGAGCGGGGTGCACGAGTGTATCCATGAACTTAAAATCCCACTGTTGCCATTAAGGCCAAAGTGTGTGCATTTTACACCTTCGAGTGATATGTAAATAGCATTTTTTTTATATATATCTCTACAATATTTTACAAAATGTGTAAACCAGTGTAAAAGAAAGGTCAAAATAAAACCACGAACCAAAAAAAGAATCGGCCAATTCTGGATGAGACAATGCAATTTGCCAGAGTTTGGCTGCCGTGGGGGGGGTACAGTCTGAAGCTGGGACTGCCCAGCCAATGACCTTTCTGTGCGCCGTGAGGAGTCGCCGATCATCAACAAGTTGACTGCCTTGGATGTTTGAGCTTTGTGAGCTATGCGAGTGCAATGTTCAGTTTGTTTTCATTCGTGTTCAACTTTTATGGTTTGCCCAAAAATAAGTCCCCTGACATATGAGACACCTATATACCCGCCCACATTAGTTCAAGAACTGTACGTTCATCAGCCAGTGTCTATCCACTGCTGGATGAAGGCCACCCCAAAGCTATCGCCGTCGCTCGCAGTCCAGTGCTGCTACCGCCCATCTCGCTGCTGCACACCGACTGATATCGTGGCTCCGTCTCCACGGTGGTCGACCCTCTCTCAGCCGACGCTCTTTCTCATTTGGCTGTCGTTCGATCACCAAGCCTCACCCATTGGCAGGGGCGGAGCCAGGATTTTGACTTTGGGGGGGGGGGGCTGACTTCAATATTCTGAGATATCCAGTGTTGATGTTTTCCAATGGGGGCCACAAATGTATAAAACAAATTTTATTGGATTTGAACGCGGAGTTTATTAATAGGTCGGAGCCGCTGATGTGGCTAATAAGTTCGATAAGTTCTAAAGGCTGCCGCTCAAGCAGCCTGCAGGACAGCACGAGGTGGCGGCCTGCAGGGCAGCACAAGGTGGTAGCCTGCAGGGCAGCACAAGGTGGCAGCCTGCAGGGCAGCACACGAGGTGGCAGCCTGCAGGGCAGCACAAGGTGGCAGCCTGCAGGGCAGCACAAGGTGGCAGCCTGCAGCATTTTGCAGCAGCCGCCGCATATTCGGTTATCCCGATTACCGACTTTCCCAAAATTTCAGGGGGGGCTGAGCCCCCCCCCCGTGGCTCCGCCCCTGCCCATTGGCCATCGACCCTTATCGCGGTGTTTCCTGCCCAAGCCCACTTAGACAAATTGCACGTACTTTTTTGTTTTTAATTTTTTGTTTAGTTATTAAACATTCATCCAGGAAAGGGCACTCTTGAAGATCTAGTTTACAAGATATCTCGGTATTGCAGTCGTACGTAATTACACTTGTATTCATGTTGAACTTATTTCGAACCATAGCCAATAATGCTAATCGGGGGTGCGGAATGTATTAATGATACAGTGAGGGAAAAAAAGTATTTGATCCCCTGCTGATTTTGTACGTTTGACCACTGACAAAGAAATGATCAGTCTATAATTTTAATGGTAGGTTTATTTGAACAGTGAGAGACAGAATAACAACAACAAAATCCAGAAAAACGCATGTCAAAATGTTATAAATTGATTTGCATTTTAATGAGGGAAATAAGTATTTGACCCCTCTGCAAAACATGACTTAGTACTTTGTGGCAAAATCCTTGTTGGCAATCACAGAGGTCAGACGTTTCTTGTAGTTGGCCACCAGGTTTGCACACATCTCAGGAGGGATTTTGTCCCACTCCTCTTTGCAGATCTTCTCCAAGTCATTAAGGTTTCGAGGCTGACGTTTGGCAACTCGAACCTTCAGCTCCCTCCACAGATTTTCTATGGGATTAAGGTCTGGAGATTGGCTAGGCCACTCCAGGACCTTAATGTACTTCTTCTTGAGCCACTCTTTTGTTGCCTTGGCCGTGTGTTTTGGGTCATTGTCATGCTGGAATACCCATCCACGACCCATTTTCAATGCCCTGACTGAGGGAAGGAGGTTCTCACCCAAGATTTGATGGTACATGGCCCCGTCCATCGTCCCTTTGATGTGGTGAAGTTGTCCTGTCCCCTTAGCAGAAAAACACCCCTAAAGCATGTTTCCACCTCCATGTTTGACGGTGGGGATGGTGTTCTTGGCGTCATAGGCAGCATTCCTCCTCCTCCAAACATGGCGAGTTGAGTTGATGCCAAAGAGCTCCATTTTGATCTCATCTGACCACAACACTTTCACCCAGTTATCCTCTGAATCATTCAGATGTTCATTGGCAAACTTCAGATGGGCATGTATATGTGCTTTCTTGAGCAGGGGGACCTTGCGGGCACTGCAGGATTTCAGTCCTTCACGGCGTAGTGTGTTACCAATTGTTTTCTTGGTGACTATGGTCCCAGCTGCCTTGAGATCGTTCACAAGATCCTCCCGTGTAGTTCTGGGCTGATTCCTCACCGTTTTCATGATCATTGCAACTCCATGAGGTGAGATCTTGCATGGAGCCCCAGGCCGAGGGAGATTGACAGTTCTTTTGTGTTTCTTACATTTGCGAATAATCGCACCAACTGTTGTCACCTTCTCACCAAACTGCTTGGCAATGGTCTTGTAGCCCATTCCAGCCTTGTGTAGGTCTACAATCTTGTCCCTGACATCCTTGGAGAGCTCTTTGGTCTTGGCCATGGTGGAGAGTTTGAAATCTGATTGATTGCTTCTGTGGACAGGTGTCTTTTCTAGAGGTAACAAGCTGAGATTAGGAGCACTCCCTTTAAGAGTGTGCTCCTAATCTCAGCTCGTTACCTGTATAAAAGACACCTGGGAGCCAAAAATCTTTATAATTGAGAGGTGGGTCAAATACTTATTTCCCTCATTAAAATGCCAATCAATTTATAACATTTTTGACATGCGTTTTTCTGGATTTTGTTGTTGTTATTCTGTCTCTCACTGTTCAAATAAACCTACCATTAAAATTATAGACTGATCATTCCTTTGTCAGTGGGCAAACGTACAAAATCAGCAGGGGATCAAATACTTTTTTCCCTCACTGTACATGATTATGCGAACCCGCTCAGGACCGGTTCATGTAATCGTCACCTTTAACATCTGCCCATTTGTTATTGTGAAGTAACGTACGGTACAACCATCGCACGCCTCGTTTTGCGCAAACCCACACCAGGCTTTCTTGTACACTCCCAAGGAGAAGTCGTCGTAGTGAGGTCCCCACAACTGCGTCTCACTGCTGCACGGGAACCGAACTCATCGCTTCTTCTCTCTTGTGCGGATTTATTTTGCTGCCCAATTTTTTTTTTGCTGTCACGCGACCACCGCCGTCTCTCCCCCCTGCAAGCTGCGCGTTCACCGGGCGTGAACTCTGCGCCGTGTTTTCTCATCGGGGGTGAGCAGCAGCGGGGTGGGGTGGGGGGAGAAGAAACAGGCGACACTCACGTCCAGCGTGTTTTTCTTTTGCCTGGAGGTGTGGCGGATATAGAAGAGGGGGGGGTGGGTCCGCTCAGGTGTTTTCGCTCAGGCGCAGTGACGGTTCCTTGTGCGCGCGTGCCCCGTGTGTACGTGGGGAGCGGTGGCGTAGTGGTTAGCGCACCGCGCTGCTAACCCGGCGACCCGAGTTGGAGTCCCGCTCATGGCACATACAGCAGTGACGATTATTTTAATCGGTCCTGGGCCCTCCCCGAGGTCGACTCGGCTGTCAAGAGTTGTACCTGGTGCGGTGTGTAAATATCGTCACTGGGGAGTCTTTGGCTTCGCACGTGTATTTCGGAAGGTGTGATTTTCTTTTTTCAAGGTTGTGGCAAGTCAGTGCATTTCTTTCTGTTTGGGTGTGCGTTTGGGTGCACGTGTTTTTTGAGTGTGTGAATATGTGGAATTATAATAATAATGGTATTTGACAGCCCTTCGTCAACCCCACTGCTGGTGTTTATCAGAATCTTTATTTATCCTGGAGGAATTGGATGAGCTATGAAGCTCCTCATTTAAGGCGGTATCGACCGAGAGGAGGATCCCCATGACCGGTTCAGATATCACTTGCCACTTTTGTTAGCCGTGACCGGGAATCGAGCTCGGGTGGCAGGGTTCATAGTGCAGTTTGCTAACCACTGCACCACCACTATCCGTATTTTACATACACAGTAATAGACTCATGCATTGGTAGCGTGTCAATAACCAATGTGGACATCATGTTTATGCTCCTATACAAAGACAAAGATCCCCCTATAGCCTTTTATAGATTGTTGGGGAAAATGCTGCTAGCGTGCACCTATGAAGGCCGTCACAGGACACGTGGTGGTGGGTGGCCAACACCACGACCGCCTTTGTCTCCCTAGTGGCGATGTTTACACATCGCACCAGGTACTCGTTTGAGGCAGAGTCGACCTAGGGGAGGCCCAGGACCGGTTCATATAATCCTCACTGTTTTTGGCCGTGGCCAGGAATCGAACTCTCGTCACTGAATTCGGAGTGCATTGTGCAAACCCGCTGCGCCAATACTCCGTCTATGTCCTACGCGTCTTAAAATTAAATAATTGCACTTGTGTATGTGTGAAGATCAAGTTATTGCATGTCCCTTAAAATGTAATCAGTGCGGCAGTGTACATTTTGATTTGTGTGCCGCATCATAATATTATTGAGTAGGTGTTTGCCTGAGGCTGTTGCAATGTCATTACTTATGCCATTGTGCTTTCCTTATGATGTGCTCTGTAACAATACCTCCCCTGAAAGCCCCTTAGCTCAGAATTAAAAAATGCCATGCGTTTGTTGTGCGGTGACGATCAAACCAAGCCCCTCTTGTGCCACGCTCTCGCCTAAAAACTTGTCGGTTCTTGCTCCAAAAGTTTCCGAGGTGGATTTGTGTGTGTGTTTGTCTATTGATTTAGTGTGTATATGTGTGTGTGTGCTTTGGCGCGCGCGTGTGTGTGTGCAAATGTTTGCACACTATAAAGCACCTCCGTGCATTTTGAGTGCGAGCTCAGGTCAGCAGTGTTTTTGTGATGGTGAGAGGGTGTGTCAGTCACGTGGATATCTAGAGGGGGGGTTTTCGGTCACTTTTATATTGAAGGCACACGCTAAGAAGTGTTTCAACTCTCTGGTGTCTTTTGACATTTCCCGGCTGTGCCCTAGGAGAGGGCCCATTCGACATTCGCGTGCAACTTTGTGGCCGCTATCTCGTTATCCATCTCTTGCACAGGAGACTCTGTTAACAGTAACTCGCGGAATTTTGTGTGATTTAAAAAAAACATTTTCTTTTCGACGTCGTCGTCTCTGGCGTGGTGGCTTGCCGCTCATGCACCCGCGCACGCAAGCCATGCCCTCCTACAGGGTGGCCAGGATGTACACCTACAGGGTGTTCTGTTTCGTCAATTCCACGGTGAAGGTACGGGGGATTTGCTTTTATTATCACGCGCTTTTATTTAACTCGCGCTGTCTGTTGTTGTTGTTGTCGTATCCTCAAATCTTGTAACTCAATTTTTACCCACTTCCCAATGTGGTATCGACCGCAAACTTGTTTATACTTATGTCATACTGATGACAATAATATATTCTATCATTAAAAAAACACGTTTTAAAACATTCATTTATTTTCTATGTTACGTTTCGGCTTGGGTCTTATTGTCCACGCTCAACTCATGTTGGCTGTAAATCACAACGGCCCCCTTACGTTGTGGCAAGCTTCGGGGCCACTCCCTGGAGTCGTGGAGTTCTGCCATTACTCGTACAGTACATTTCATTTAAAGCGTGCTTTTTATTTGTTTTAACATTACTTATTTCTTTACGCAAATGGGTTTCGCGATGGCGCTTTGTTTGGTGTTGAGACCCACCGGGCGGCAGGCGCGGCAAATCACGGAAATTTGCGTCGCGGTTTTGAGTTTTTGCATCGCGTGTCGGTTCAAGCGGTTGTCAATTATTTGCAGCGTTTTTTTTATAGCAAGAAGGCTCCCCCCCCTCCACCCCACGCTGTGTCGATCGTGGGGAGTTGTTTGGGTATACTTCACCACGCTGGTCAGTGTGTGTTGGTGAACCGGGCTGGGAATTTAACTTAATTGGCCAGGGTTCATAGCACAGCAGTGCACTAACCACTCTGCTGCTTCAGGCTGCCACCTGAGGTGGCTTTCCCAGGGCATTAAAAACCCTTTTTTTTAGGCAGCTGCTGTCCTTGGACATCTGTCAGTCTTCCCAGGAAATCAAGGCACTGGCTTTTACCCGTCGTGTGGTCAATAATAACAATGCACCACTCAAGACCACGTGTTGACATGCAGCTCTCCGCTCTGCTGGTATTCCCAGATTTTCTCGTTCACATAAATGCATCCGGGTTTTTTGTATTTCATAGATGGCAACTTGAGCGCCACTACTCACCATACCCGGATTCGTTGTACTGTACCCTATTGGTGTTAACACGTGCATGAAGAGTTAACGATGTTAATTCTCTGTAGATTTTAGTGTACGGACGCCGTGGCACTGCCACGTGTGTGTGTGTGATTTTGTTGTGTTTCCACTCGTGCGTGCTTTCACTTTGTAAGTAGATCCAAAGCCTTCCACCACATCAAATATCCTAGCCACATCCAACATCGGTGGCGAATATCCGAACCAGTCTAGGACCCTTAGGGTGACTCAGCCTAAAATGAATACCTGCTGTGGTGTGTAAACATCAGCACTCGGCAGACAAAGGCGGCCGGGTGTGGTATCAGCCACACCACCTCCTTGCGTGTTGTGCCGGCTTTTATCGGTGCTATTCACTAACAGCACTTGCCCTAATAGCCTAATAAAGGCGATAACGGGGGATTTTGCAGCGGTGCTTTAATGTTTAATGCACTACACTTTGATCCCGACTTCATGGCTATGTTACAAATCATCGCTATCAGTTATTGCGGTATTATAATTATTTGCGGGCTACCGCTAGGGTTGACTCAACTTCACGTGCGTGCGTGCGTGCCCAATATGATTCGTGTGCATCTTCACAGGGAAGGCGAAGGTGGCCTGGATGGGCGGTGCTGGTCGCACGACCCGTTCGTGCGCCATGCCAGCCTTTGCAGGCGCTTGCTGACTGAATGGTCATTGTCTCCTCTTGTGGCACTGTGTAGATAATGGAGCGACCGGAGGAGAAAGAAGTTCTATTGCCAACATCTCTGACACCTGACAAGGTTGCAGAGGTAGACACACATCCGCACTTATGAATGCCAGCACGGCACACGAGGGGGGGGTTGGGTGGCCAGCACCACGCCCCGGCCACATTAGTCTCCCCAGTGGCGATGTTTACCACACACCGCACCAGGACTTCATTTCAGGCTGAGTCGACCTAGGGGAGGCCCAGGACCGGTTCATAAAATCATCACTGGCGTTGGCAATGAGCAGGGATCGAAATCGGGTCCCCGGGCTTATAGAGCAGCGTGCTAACCACTGCACTACCGCTGGACATACACAGTCGCATGAACAGTCACCAATCGCCATTCGATAGTGGTGACTTGACTAAGGGTCACTTTGAGGTTGCCACTTGAAGTGCGGAAGGCTCGCTGTCCAGGTGGTCACGGGACAGACTGAGCTGCCATGGGTTGGCTAACTGAGATGACTGGCAGATGCCCCCTTTTGTGGTGCCCACTATGCCAACTTCCCTGCGTCTTAGTTGCCTGGCGCTCCGCTCATTGTTGTGAGCGTCGCTCCTCTCGCCCTCCGTTGTTGCCCATGCTTTCTCCATTAACATTCACAAATGCATGTAGAGTAACATAATGTACATGTAATAAGTCACCTTCCCCCCCCAGCTCAGAGGTTTGATGAAATGTCACAACGTGGGGTCGTGATTTGATTCAAGAATCGATTCTTTGTTTTGCCTCGATGTTTATGTTGCGCTTGCATTGTTTGAGTCGGCTAATGTGACAGTCAACGCCCTACCCGGATGATTACGTTCTTTCAAAGATTGCCAAACATATTTATGGAAAGTGCTGTTAGTGAGAACCTATTAACGCCAGAATGGTTTACTTGAGGGTGGTGTGACCAGCATTATTTTAGGTTGAGTTAACCTAAACACGGAATGGCAAAATAAAATAATGCCTCCATCACATATTTGTCTCTCCACATGAAAAAAATATTTTTACAAATCCCATTGGCCGTACGGCCTTCTGGGAGTGTATCCTATAAACAGCACTGGTCCCTGACTCGCAAACTCTGGATCGATTTTAAACATTCAGCGTATCATCAGCAGTCAGGCTTGCTTGAACCAATGCTCGTGAACTGCCCAACGTTTTGGTTCTATGATCACCTGATGTTAGCCGTGGCTGGGAATAGAACCCAGGTTTGTCAGGTTCGTAGCAGAGTGCACTCACCACTTCGCCACTGCCCCCCACATTAACATGCACACGCGCACGTGGCCACACACTGATTCACATACGTGTTGCCTGGTAACCCCACTTTGCATTATCCCCACTGTTCCGTGTTGCCTCCACTTTCTGTGTTACCTCCAACGTGTCCCATCTGCCCAGGCGGCACTGTGGTTAGAGCACTCAACCCGAAGTCAGAAAGTCACAAGTTCAAATCCAAATTGAGGGTACACTTGATGAACCCAGTATCAGTAGCCCATCTATTAGATCAAGTATAACCTTACCATAGTAATGTAGAATTTCCAACACATTACATCAGTTAAACAAAACAAAGTGAGGTGTCAATAACAGAGGTTTTTTTTGGTTAGATCACGTAAATATAAATATTTCTTTAAACCCGCCACCACACGAAACAGCCAATTAGTAAGGTTTTTCACCTAAACAAAACGTGCCAACCAGTTACAAGTTCAGCACACCAGTGTGTTGGAGAGTAAACTCACAACATTTACAATTCGAGTACGATCCTTCACTGGTAATTACAAGCCTCATTCGGCGACAACCAGAATTATGTAGAAATCCTCCTTTTTCGGTCTTAAATACAGGAGAAAATATGATGTCGTCACTGTGAATCAATCAGGTGCGAAGACCAGAGAGGAGTTAATGTTGTAGTCATATCAATTACAATGGATATCTATTATTTGAGTGAAGTGGCCGCATGGTTCAGGGTTAAGAGATCCTGAACTGCCACCACCACCACTTGGTTCATATCAAGAATTTTAGCCACCTGTGATTAAACTGGGTTCTCAAATTTAGCAAGCTGATGGTCTCAGCCTGGTCACCTATACCCATAGCCATGACCCTCATTACCTACCTCCATGTACCCCATAACCACTGTTACCCATTCATTACCCACGACTCCCATCACCCCCGCTAACCATTACCCATTACCTCTCTGACCATTGTTACCCATTACACATTACCCCCGTGACCCCCGTGGCCACCGTTACCCATTACCCCCCCATGACCCCTGTTACCCCGTAACCCCATAACCCGCATCAGGGCTCGGTCCGGGTGACCCTGCAGGAGACGGTAGAGCTGGAGCGCGGAGCAGGGCTGTGGGGTGGCCACGCCTTCACCTACCTGTGCCTGTGGTACGGGCTCAGCTTCTGCACGCTGGTGCTCAACAAGTACATCCTCTCGCTGCTGGGCGGCGAGCCCGCCACGCTGGGTACATACAGATGCACGCACGCACGCACCGCATGCGGATATGGGCGAGGATGCACTGCGTTTGTGTGCGAGTGGCTGGATAGGGGGGGCTAAACGATCGCGGTACGTGCTGGAGAAGAGATTGACTGCTGCGGTAACAGAAGTAATGTAGGACTGAGTGGACTTGCTGTTGACTGGTACCGGCAGTGTTCAGGTCGGCCTCTGTGGAGGAGACTCGTGAAGGACGCTCCTGGGAAGTTGGAAGCAGTTACCCTCCGTCAACAGTCGGGCGCAGAGGAGCGATGCTCACAATGATGAGCGTAGTGCCAGGGTGACTAAAACGCAGGGAGTTGGCATATTGGGGAGGACAGGTGGTGCATCTGCCAGTCATCTCGGTCAACCCACGACACCTGTAACCTTCTGCAAGTGAGCCATCGACACTTCAAGCCTCATCATGCACCTCGGCTAGCGCTAGCGCCGTGGAGACGTCACCGCTACTGAGTAGCGAACGGCGGCTGTTGTTGGAGGTGGGGGCATTTGTGGCGGTGCAGTGGTTGGCGCACTATGCGACTCACCCAGCGTCCTCAGTTTGACCCCTGGCCATGCCTACCATCAATGGCGAGAGATCTGAACCGGTCCCGGGCCTCCTCCTGGTCGATTAAGCCTTAAATAAATCCTTGGTGCAGTGTGCTAACATCAGCACTGGGGAGACCAGGCGTGGTGGTGGGGCCAGGCGTGGTGGTGGCCACACCACCCCGTCGTGTGACGTCGCAGGGGGGTCGAGGTCAGATTCTCAATGTAGACACAGCAGGGTCGTCTTCCCCACTCGTGCGTCTCGAGTGCTGACTTGAATAGGCGCTCGCTAACAACACTTGCCTCAAGATTCTGTCTCGGCTCACAAAAGGGAATTCTGTCCGAGATTTTCACGTGTGTGTGTTTTTTTGTGTGTGTGGAGAATGGTTGTGCAGCAGTTCGTGTGCTGAATTACGAATCCAGTGACCCGAGTTCGATTCCCGCTCACGGTCAACACTGTTGACGATTATCAGAACTGGTCCTGAGCCTCCCCTAGGTCGACTTTGCCTCAAATGAGTACCTGGGGCGGTGTTTAAATATTACTACCAGGGAGACAAAGGCGGCCAGGTCTGGCACTGGCCATCCACCACATTGTGTGCCGTGCCGGCCTTCATAGGTGCTCGCAAACAGCACTCGCCCCAACAGTCTGCTAAATGCTATACGGGGATCGTGGTCTTTATGGGAGTAGTGCTGACATGCACTGTGTGTATCATACTTCTGTGGGTGTGTGTAGGAGCGGTGCAGATGGTCTCCACGACGGTCATCGGCTTGATACAGATGTGCCTCCGGAAGTCTTCCCACAAGGACTTCCCCCCCAACTTCGTCTCCGCCATGACGCTCATGGGCGGCATGAGGTGCAGCGTCCTGTGGGGCAGTGCGAGCGGTCTCAGAATTTAGAATATTTATTTAGATTGAAGGAGGAATCCGATTAAATCAAATTAAAAAAAAATGTTTTACCAGGTAAGGCCCTATCAGCTCTACAGCTCTGTTTCAGAAGCGACCTGGCCACAAATTATAACTCACGGAGGTGGCTTCTCGTGTGGAAATGTATAACAGCAAAATGCTCTAAACGCGTGATGTTGATTCTAAATGTGGAGGGAAAAACCGGGGGACCCGGAGAAAAATTCCACGCGACCACAGGGAGAACATGCAAACTCCAAATATATAGACGTCAGCGTCGGGATCGTACCCACTTCCTCCTACATACCACCTGCATACCAGGCGAGGTAGTTAACATCTCGCCAACACGAATCTTTTTTTCACATATGTCCAGTCGGGGCAGGTCAGCAGGTTACAACAACAAACAATCACAAAAATAATCGATAGAAGTGCAAAAATGAGAAAAGCTAATCAAGTCACGAAAAAGAATAAACAGAGTATTAAAGTACAAATCGCGTAACTACATACATTCCTCATTGGTTTCTTCGGTAAAGTCACATATGTAGAAATACAATAAAATTATATTAAAACAAAACAATCACGACGTTTCAATCACAACACAAGCGATCTTCATCAGGTGTCAAGAACAAATCATGGAGGTAAATACAACAAGAAGACGAGAGATGAGAATTCAACAAACCTAAGAAACATTATGTGAAGCACATCCAGTCAGGCCAACAACACAGTTACACTTCCTGGCGGACCACGAGTTTCAGAAGAGTGTTAAATTTCGTGTTCAACCTTTGGATTGCACAAACCGGGCCCCTCTCTCTCTCTCTCCTTGCTTCTCTGTCCGTTTTTCCTCCCTCCTTGCCTCTTGGTGTACCTGTATATGTATTTCTGCTGACTTTGTACCCCGTATTTGTTCACTCTATGCTGGTTTGTGCAATCCAGAGGTTGAACACGAAATGTAACACTCCTGAAATTCGTGGTCCGCCAGGAAGTGTCTAACTGTGTTGTTGGCCTGACTGGATGTGCTTCACATAATGTTTCTTAGGTTTGTTGAATTCTCGTCTCTGATCTTGTTGTATTTACCTCCGTGATTTGTTCTTGACACCTGATGAAGATCGCTCGTGTTGTGATCGAAACGTCGTGATTGTTTTGTTTGAATATAATTTTATTGTATTTCTACACACGTGACTTTACCGAAAAAAACAATGAGTAATTTTATGCAGTCACGAAAGCTTTAATTCTTTATTAATACATACATTCCTGCCGATTTTTCAACACTCAGTGCAAGCTTGGGCCAGGCAGTAAAACAACAACAAAAACAGTCCCAGACCACACCAAGACAACACACAACGTTAAACGTGGGTGCAGTGATGTTCCCTTATCGTTCTAGTCATCAGAGGCAGTGGTGGTGATGATGATGATAATTATGACTGTTTTGTTGTTGTTACAAGTGTATTGTTGCAGTGTTGATGGTCAGTTTGTTGTTGTCATTGTGGCTGTAGTTGTGCTACGGTTGTCCTGGTTCTCAAAAGTAGTGTTGATGGCGACGCCAATCACTGTGGCTGTTGTTGTGAGTGTATTGTGGTTGTTGCTTTGTTGTTGCGGTTGTGAGTAAGTGTATTGTTGTGGTTGTAGGTGTGCCACAGTGGTGCTGGGCCTTGTTTGTCTCAAGAACGTGGCGGTGTCGTTCGCTGAGACGGTGAAAAGTTCCGCACCGATCTTCACCGTTCTCATGTCACGCTTCATCCTTGGAGAGCACACCGGTACACAGCCTTGACACCCGGACACTCCTACACACCCTGCACACCCTGCACACCATACACAGCCTGCACACCGGTACACACCCTTGACACCCGGACACTCCCTACACACCCTGCACACCCTGCACACCCATACGCACCCTGCACACCATACACAGCCTGCACACCGGTACACACCCTTGACACCCGGACACTCCCTACACACCCTGCACACCCTGCACACCCTGCACACCATACACAGCCTGTACACCGGTACACACCCTTGACACCCGGACACTCCCTGCACACCCATACACACCCTCCACAACATACACAGCCTGCACACCATACACAGCCTGCACACTGGTACACACCCTGGACACCAGTACACATTTTGTACACCAGTACACACCCTACACACTATGCACACCAGTACACTCCCTGCACACCCATACACACCATACACACCGGTACACACCCTGCAAACGGTACACACCCTGCACACTAGTACACACCCTGCGCTCACTGCACATATGTTTGTGCAGTAAGCAGGAACCAGGATGAGTCCATTAATTACTCAGCACGGCACGGTCATAAATGTGTACTGATCCCACGTGCCTCTGGGAGCCCCATATATGGAGATGGCTTTAACCTTTACACTATGGAGGGAACGATAATTCTAAGGGAATGATCATTCAAACCTGTAACTGAAGAGAAAACCAAAACAACAGAAACATGAACACAAAGATGTGCATATACTTAGCTCTTTCGGTAAAGTCACGTTGAAGGGAAACAATAAAATATATATAAAACAATAAAAATTCTCACGACGTTTCGACCATAACACAAACGGTCATCATCAGGTGTGAAAAACCAACGGTTATGGTCGAAACGTCGTGAGAATTTTTATTGTTTTATATATATTTTATTGTTTCCCTTCAACGTGACTTCACCGAAAGAGCTAAGAATATGAATTACTGCAGTCACGAAAGCTTCAAATCAAAACAAAGATGTGCAGTTAAATCTCCATGGTTTAACCACAGGGGCGGTTGACAGCTGGATCCTCACCCCATGTGAAGTCCAGGTCAAGTTTATTTTGTTCAACCAGATGAAAACTCAAGAAAATCAGGACGAGTCTCATTTGCAAGAGTGACCTTGGTGCAAGAGTTACCATGTGCGCGTGTGTGCTCCCTAACGGCACTTGCCCCAACAGTCTATTTAGGCTATACGGGGCACACTTGTGTGTGCGTGCGCCTGTGCACGGTGCACTACAAAGCCGCCGACCCGGGTTCAATTCCCGCTCACGGTCAACACCGGTGACGATTATCTGAACCGGTCCTGGGCCTCCCCTAGGTCGACTCAGCCTCAAATGTGTACCTGGGGCGGTGTGTAAACAACAACACCCGCCATCCGTCACGAAGTGGCGGTGAGGTCACCATGGCGCCTGTGCCAGGCTAGGTGCACTTCGAGGCTACGTGAAAACATTACCACAAGCCAAACGTCCTGACCACCCACCCCCTAGTGTGCCGTGCTGGTCTTGGTAGGTTCTCGCTAACAGCACTTGCTCCTACAGTCTGTTAAGCCTATGCGGGTGATCTTTGTGCGTGCAGGCTGGCGGGTGTCCGCGTCGCTCATGCCCGTCATGCTGGGCCTGTCCATGTGCACAGCCACCGAGGTCGGATTCAGCTCGCTGGGTTTCAGTGCTGCCCTCTCCACCAACATCGTTGACTGGTACCTCTCTCTCCCGTCTCTCTCTCCCCCCTCTCTCCTCACACACCTCTCTCCTCACACACCTCTCTCCCACCTCTCTCCCACCTCTCTCCCACCTCTCTCCCACCTCACACACCTCTCTCACCTCACACACCTCACATACCTCTCTCACCTCTCTCACCTCACACACCTCACATACCTCTCTCACCTCACACACCTCTCTCACCTCTCTCACCTCACACACCTCACACACCTCTCATACCTCTCTCACCTCACACACCTCTCTCACCTCTCTCACCTCACACACCTCACATACCTCACACACCTCACACACCTCACATACCTCTCTCTCACCTCACATACCTCACACACCTCACACACCTCACACAACTTACACACCTCACTCACCTCACACACCTCACACACCTCACACACCTCACACACCTCACACACCTCACACACCTCTCTCACCTCTCTCACCTCACACACCTCACACACCTCTCATACCTCTCTCACCTCACACACCTCTCTCACCTCTCTCACCTCACACACCTCACATACCTCACACACCTCACACACCTCACACACCTCTCTCACCTCTCTCACCTCACACACCTCACACACCTCACACACCTCTCTCACCTCACACACCTCACACACCTCACACACCTCTCTCACCTCACACACCTCACATACCTCACACACCTCACACACCTCTCTCACCTCACACACCTCACACACCTCACACACCTTTCTCACCTCACACACCTCACATACCTCACACACCTCTCTCACCTCTCTCACCTCACACACCTCACACACCTCACACAACTCACACACCTCTCTCACCTCTCTCACACCTCACACACCTCACACAACTCACACACCTCACACACCTCACACACCTCTCTCACCTCACACACCTCACATACCTCACACACCTCACACACCTCACACACCTCTCTCTCTCCTCACACCTCACACACCTCTCTCTCCTCACACACCTCTCACACCTCTCTCACCTCACACACCTCACATACCTCACACACCTCACACACCTCTCTCACCTCTCTCACCTCACACACCTCACACACCTCACACACCTCACACACCTCTCTCTCACCTCACACACCTCACACACCTCTCTCACCTCACACACCTCTCTCTCCTCTCTCACCTCTCTCACCTCACACACCTCACACACCTCACACACCTCTCTCTCCTCACACACCTCTCCCACCTCACACACCTCACACAACTCACACACCTCACACACCTCACACACCTTTCTCTCCTCACACACCTCTCTCACCTGACACACCTCTCTCTCCTCACACACCTCACATACCTCACACACCTCACTCACCTCACACACTTCACACACCTCACACACCTCACACACCTCACTCACCTCACACACCTCACACAACTCACACACCTCACACAACTCACACACCTCACACACATCACTCTCCTCACACACCTCTCTCTCCTCACTCACCTCACTCTCCTCACTCACCTCACTCTCCTCACTCACCTCACACACCTCATACACCTCACTCTCCTCACACACCTCTCTCACCTCACACACCTCTCTCCCACTTTCCACACCAATCCCCCACCTTTCACATCTCTCGCACCAGCTACACTTCGTCAATGCCACCGGCTCCCGGGGGTGCAGTGGCGAAATGTGGTCGGCACGAGCCCCAGTGCACGTGTAGTGACATCGGGGTTGTCACTGTACGGTGCCGGCACGGAAGAGCCGTGGCGTGCGATGCACCGTCATCGCGTACACCACGTGGCGGGTGTATTACCAGCCCTAGCGGGGCTTGGTGAGCACTGGGATATAGCGCGAGCACGACGCATGGCGTGCGGTGCGGGCTTCCACGAGGGGGAGCGGGAGAGTGTCAGCCCAGGGACAGGGTTACCCCGGGCCATGGCACTCCGGTTGACGCTGCAGACACGTGATCTAAAGTGTCCACAGAGAGGCCCCCAGGTGGGGGAACTAGGGGGTGATCACGTGTCCGGGGAGAGCTCTCGAGAGGGATCGAGGGGGAGCCGGAAGGCTCCAGAAGGCAGGCGGGGCCAGGGGCGGAGCGGCCCCGACCCGTGGGGGATATAAGGCGGGTCCCTGAGAGGGACCGGGGTCGCTGCATTCTACAAGCTGGAAGCTCCACGTCCACCAGCTGAATCTCTACGTCTCAAGCTGGAAGCTCTACGTCCTAGGAGGCAAACACGTGGTCGTGGACTCGAGTGAGGCCCGACCCTTCGTAGCAGTAACTCCTCTGTATAGCGTAGTTAGCTGGGTGATCACCACCCCGGGCTGTATCTGGTGAAGGGGCAGTTACCCCTTCGTGTTACGTGTTACAAATAAATGTGTTGCCTCTAAAAAGGAACGTCTACGACTCAGTTACACTCACTACACAAGGACTAAAAAGGGGTCCCCTTGTCCATTTTCCCCCCGTCACTGCAGGGGCCAAGCAATGAGAAATATCGATTTAGTGCAGTTTCTGCAGTCACTGCTGCTGCAACTAGGCGGCGCTGCAGTCAAAATTGTTGCTCTTGAAAGTGCTGTGGTTGAGGTTGTCGAGTAGCTCAGGTGATTGTGCTGCTTGCCGGGTATTGCGCAACAGGCCAGCGTGCCTGCCGCTCAGCCAGTTTGCAGGGGGGTCGAGGTAAGATTCCCAATGTAGACACAACCGGGTCGCCTGACCCACTCGTTGCTTCTCGAGTGCAAACTTAATAGGCGCTTGCTAACAACACTTGCCTCAAGATTGTGTCTCGGCTCAACAGGAAATTTTGTCCTAGGTTTTCCTGTGGTTTTTTTTTTGTCTGTGGGGAATGGTTGTGCAGCAGTTGTTTTGCCAAATTACGAATACAGTGACCCAAGTTCGATTCCCGCTCACGGTCAACGCTGGTGACGATTATCTGAACTGGTCCTGAGCCTCCTCTAGGTCGACTTTGCCTCAAATGAGTACCTGGGGCGGTGTGTAAATATTACTACTAGGGAGACAAAGGCGGCCAGGTGTAGCGCTGGTCATCCAGCTCTACACCTGGCCGCTTTTTGACATTGAGTTAGTGGGTGTGTGTACAGTGGAAATGGGAGAGTGGCTAACGGTGTTTCACATGTGCCTCTGTGTGCAGTTTACAGAACGTGTTCTCCAAGAAGCTTCTGAGTGGTGACAAATATCGATTTACGTGAGTAGCACACATGCTCAAACCCATGCCATTCACACGAGCATGCGCGCACATATTCACAACAACCACCATTCACTTGTGCCAGGCTAGGTGTACTTTGAGCTCACGTTAAGTGTCGAAGGCCAACTGGCAGGAGGTCACAGCACAGGCCCAGTTGCCAAGGGTTGACTGACATGACTGACGGACGTCCACCCCACTGCGCTAACGTTCTGCTTTTTAGCCGCCCGGCCTTCTGCTTGTTGTTGTGAGCATCGACGCTCCACTCGTGTTGGAGGACGACTGCCTCCGAGTGCACAGTAGCGTACTTCACGAGCCTCCTCCATGAGGCAGATCTTGACACTGCTGGTACCAGTCTTTGGCAGGTCCACTCAGCTCCACATCCTCATGTACTACATCAGCCCATCTGTTCTCTAGCCAGTGCCATACATCGTTTAGCCCCCTCTATCCGGCCCAACAGAAACCGCTTGGGAAAGAGGTGGCTGGGCATGCAGGTTACATGACCCAGCAACGCAGCCATGCTTGCCATATACATACGTACTGTTACACAAGCACACTTTCATGTAACGAGCATGGGCTGAATGGACACGTGTAATGGTCTGCACACTGGACTTCCAATGCAGGTCACCAGTTCGATCTCCCGGTGCGGAAGTTGAAACAATGGGACAAGTTTCTTGAACTCCACTTCTGTCTACCCAGCAGTGTAACTGGGCACACCACAGTTAGTTGATTAGCAGGTTGCGTACGGTGGAGCAAAGTGTGGGTTATCCTACCTTTTCCAAGACGTCTGGACCGGTTCAGACAAATATCTGAACTGGTCCTGTGCCTTCCCCTAGATCGACTCAGCCTGAAATGGGTCCCCATTGCGGTGTGCAAACATGAGTACCGGGGAGACAAAGGCTGGCCACTCACCCCCCTCGTGTGCCGTGTCAGCCTTCATAGGTGCTTGCGAATGGCATTTTCCCTCCAAATTCTGCCAAAAGGCTGCTACACAGAGGATCTTTGTCTCATCATGTGGGTGTCCGTGTGGGTGTGTGTGCAGGCCTGCGGAGTTGCAGTTCTATACGAGTGGAGCCGCCGTGTTGATGATGATCCCTGCCTGGTTGCTCATGACGGTACAGCACTCATGTTCTCTCCACCCAGAGTCTGCGTGTGTGGGTATATGTGGTGTGTGCAGGACATGGTGTGGTATGATGTGCGCTATGGTGTGTAATATACGTGAAGTATTCGGTGCGTGCTTGCGTGCGTGTGTGTGCAGGACATGTTGCGAGCGGTAGTGCAGCGGTTAGAGCCCTGTGGTACGAACCCGGCGACCCGAGTTCGATTCCCGCTGACAATTTTCTGAACCGGTCCTGGGCCTCCACCAGGTCGACTTAACCTCAATTGAGTATCTGGTGTGGTGTGTAAACATCGCCACTAGGGAGATAAAGGCGGCTGGGAATGGTAGTGGCCACACACCTTTGTGTGCCGTGACGGCCTTCGTAGGTGCTCGCTAACGGCACTTGCCTCCACATTCTGCTGAAGGCTACACAGGGGACCTTTGGTGTGTGCAGGACATGGTGTGACGTATTCAGTGTGTCTGTCTGCAGGACAGTGTGTAGTGTGGTACGGTGGGTGTTATGCATTAGGAACTACGTATATGTGGTGTGTGCAGGACATGGTGTGGCTCGCCGTGCCCATCACGCCAGACCTGGCTGGCCTCCTCGTGACTGACGGAGCTCTCTTCCATGCACAGAGCGTGTGCGCGTTCGCTCTCATGGGATACATCTCCCCCGTCACGTTCAGGCAGGCTCAACATGGACATACCTCGCACACATGCACCATGCATCCATCACACATGCATCACACACCGTACTACACCAACACATACATCACACACCACACATACCACGTAACTCACATACAACGCACATAAAACGACACAACACACTGCCCACACGATACACAGGCCTTCCCTGACCACCAACACACAATTCGCAATAGCACATCCACCCATGTCAATGCGTTTGCCCATGCCCGTGTGCATCTGCATGTCCATGCACTCATTTATTTGTGTACCTAATTGTGTACCTGTGTGGATTTGTGTGCCCTTGCAAATGTGTCTTTGTGTACCTGTGTTTATATGAGTACATCCGTGTGTAACCAAGTGTACCTGTGTATTCTAGGTGTATCAATATACGCGCGTTTCCGTGTACACCAATGTGTTGATGTGTGTAATCGGGTGTGCCCCTGTTTATCCATGTGTACGTATGCCTGTCGTTGATCTCGTGTGTTTTCCCTGTGCATCCACGCATGTTCCCGCGAGCAGCGTTGCGAGCACCATGAAGCACGCGCTTTCCATCTGGCTCAGCGTGCTCGTGTTCGGGAACCCCGTGAGCGTCGTCTCCGCCGCGGGCAGCGCCCTCGTCGTGGGTGGGGTCGCGCTCTACAGCCACGCTCGTGCTCACGGGGGGCACGGGGTCACGGCGGCCATGCACGCGACGCACGGCACGCAGGGAACGCACGGCGCGCCCAGCAACGCTTGCAAGCAGATTAACGTGCAGACGCAAACACACACACACGCGTTGTGATCGGGGCCAGCAGTCGGCCCTCCCGTTTCCTGGCAGTGATGCCCTCCTTATGATCCCACGGTGAGCTTGGGGATCAACACGATAAGACGGATGGTAAATTTTGATCAGGCGTAGGCAGAGAGGAGGTTATGAACACCTCGCTTTTACTGGCCACGCGCTGGAGGCAAAAGCCTTTTTGCTACTGGCCATATCGACCTTATAGTAGCCACGCCTCTGCCGACGACGCAGCTATTGGCTCAGCAAGGAGGGGCTCCCACAAGTCTTTAACAATTGGGTCCCTATTGTGGAACACAACAGAGTGTTTGATTGAATGGAAGTGCCTGGAAGTTTGACCATTTTCCTTCCAGTTATTGTGTCACAGTGAGACACAAGTCATTAAATCCCAGGAGTTTGATTCACTGGTGGACTATCCATCCGTATCGTGTATAATAATGATACGTCAACGAATCAAAATATCTCTTGTAGTAATTTGGAGCCATCCTCGTCTGTGATGACCCTGGGTTGTTGGTGGAAATTTCACATTTCTGTTACGCAAGTCGCGTTCTCATGGGACAACCACCACTGTTGAGTTCCTGCAGGGTTGTACGAAGTTTACTGACCACGGCAGGATGATGGGTTGACTTGATACTTTACCACACGATTTTAGCTCGGAAACCTGCTTGTAAATTGGACACACTAACTACTGTGCTGGCTGATTGATGTATATACAATTGCGATTTTTTTGTACATAAATTGAAGATACCTCTATATGGTTTGCGAGCACATGTCAAAACACCACGCCAGAAAAAGTGTGGGGTTCAATTCTTAGGGCCTGGCAGTGACATTTTACAGATGGTCTTCACAACGAGTGGCAACTTCACACAAACATGAGTTTGAGAATGGGGTTCAAACAATTCACCTACATCCCTGAGATTGAAAGAAATACTGCAGCTTTAGCAGTAAAAAAAAACTGAAGGTCATGGGAAAAATATACTGTACCTGTAAACTAACATCCCCCAATGTATGTGTTTGTATATGTGTCTTAATGCCAGTAAATGTTAGTTATACATGGTGCTAATGTGGTTTAAGAGCCTTGGCCTTGTGGAATTAAATAACGCCCCACCCTGTAGAATCGGCACCTTTGTTGTAAATATCAGTATTAATGTCAATGCCATTCTTATGCGCCTGTGTGTGTGTGTGTGTGGTGGGAAGTAGTAACATCGTCGTTCACTCACCACACCCTAATCCTTGCAACTCGAATTTGAATCCGAGCCATAACGGACACCAGTGGCATGGGGATTTGAAACCTGTCCTTGGCTTCCTCCTCTAGGTTGACTCAGTTTTTAACGGGTACTGCACCTGCTGTGGTGTTGAGATCATCAACATCGAGTTGCTTTTCATTTCAGGCTGTGGTGACCTCGGGAAAGGGTGGTCCATCCCGTATTCACATACCAATTCTCCCGAGCTGTCTATGTGTGTGCGTGTGATTGCATATTTGAATATGTATATATCATACATTGTAAAGATTTTACCTTGCAGTCGGGGCAAGTGCGTTTAGCTGTCACTTATTCTAAAATGTAATATATATAATCACAAAGTACTTATGTACAAGTCTCGTTAAGGTGTACTGTGAAGATAATTTAGAATCAAGTCTTAAGGAAATAGAATATTGTGTTACGTTAACACAACTTTGTCTAAACCGTGTGCTCGATGCATTACAGCTACACCACTTAAACATCTCAATTAAGCATCAATCTTAATTCAGGGACTAGTTTCTTCAGAAATGCGTCCACGTTTCCTGTTGTAACTTGGCGGCAAACTTGTCTTTCTTAATTCTATGATTTTAGTTGCGTTCATACTTTTCTGGTGAACGTGTAATAGCTTTTTCATGTGTTACAAAGCAGAATTTTACGTGCGTGTGCAATATTTGGTAACCAGACTTAGACCAACCCCATACAAAATCTTGACTTAAAGCTTTCGTGACTGCAGGAATTCATATTCTTTGGGTCTTTCGGTAAAGTCACGTAGATATAACAATAAAATAATAAAAATAAAGTGAATAAAAAGTCATAAAAATATCATGTTTTGATCGCAACTGATGACAATTGCTTGTGTTGCGATCGAAACGTGATATTTTTATTGTTTTATTCACTTTATTTTTATTATTTTATTGTTCTATCTACGTGACTTTACCGAAAGACCGAAAGAATATCAACTCCCTACACTTGAGACAGACCAACAGAAAACTTCATACCCCCGGTAACAACCTGCTTCAATAGCTGGTGGCTGAAACGATATTGGTTGAGTGCTTTTGGCCACAGCCATTCAAAGCCACCCAGTCACATGCTGAACGTTAATTTTAATATCAACCTATGCTTTGTGGGACCACGTGTCAAAACGAAAAATGCAGGAACTTGATTTGGAGAAGAAAAAAACCATACACATGCAAGTAAAGGTGTAAAAACATAATCTAATAATTTTGCAAGCTGCGTCTTTTCAAATATCCTATTGTTTGCAATTGCTCATTACATTGCCAACGTGGGTGTACGAATTGTAATTATTTGATGCCAAAACATGTTTTGCATTACAATGTTGGTTTATTACGTTACAAATGTATAAAGTGATTACTGTGTTTTTTGTTATACCTGATGAATCAAAAGGGCACAAAGCAGATGGGCCAACGTGCCCTATGTTAAGCAGAATTTTTTCAAGCGCGCGGTGTACCATATTTTACAGATATGTTCGGGAGATGACGATGCATCCCTAACTTGTGCACAGTGTCAATCTTGCAGAATATAAATATGGTCAGACACCTGCAAGGTTATATGAGGCACTCCCAAATAAGCATGTTTGTGGTGACATAATCTCATTTGGCATCCTTGAATGAGTTGTAGAAATTCCACATTCCCATGGTGGAGACCAGTCTACTTGTAGAATGACCACTATAACTTCCCACAAAATGAGTCTTTATTTTGTTGGCCCTGGAGATATGAACGGCTGGGTTGATCTCAAACCTGGATATATTGCGAGTGATATCCTCTGGCAATTGCGCCATGTGGCTGGAAATCATGAGAAAATGGGCACAGATTTCTTCGCCGTTTCATAAATTCTGAATTGTACAAATCTAAAGAGTTTACAAGTAATGACAAGCACCCATGTAGTTTCTCGCTTTGTTTTAAGGGTCATGAAACAAAAAAACTAGGATGGTATGCGCACCTGCTTGCATGGGACCCAGATTCAGCACCCACTCGCTGGATTGCACGTCCACAGATTGTGGGCATCTAATGCACATACACCATCATCGCAGCTCTTGATGCTAGACCTCGTCATTCAGACTCCCATCCCTGTGTGGGCCGTTAACCCAACCTCTCGGTTTGAAGGTTGAGGAGTGAGCCTGTAGAGATGGGCAGTCTTCACTACATGCATTGGCAGTAGTGGTTTTGTAATGTCTGTAAAACTGCGATGTTTGAGTTGAAATAAAAGCTTTTTTTATCATTCCCGAGTTTCCTTGATGGGTCTATGGGGTTCTGCAATGTGGTGATAGAGAATACATGCGAAATTAAAATTGTTGCATCATCCATTGTCCATTGCTGAAGGCCTTCCCACATCACCATCTCACATGGTCCAATCCTGCTACCTTCCATCTCACTCCTGCACATCAACCGATGTCATTGCTGCATCTCCACAGTTGTAAATTTTGAACACGTTCGCTTCTTAGGCTGCCATTCCATCACCAACATCATGCATAAGCCAAATGTAAGCTATAGTCACAATTCAATTACAGGAATGTGTTGTGCCAATTAAATGAACATACGTGATATCACCTGAGCTCAGTGATGCATGTGCATGGTAGCTCCACGTGAGGTAAGGAAATTATTATAACTTCTTGTGATCTCTCTCACAATATCCCTTTGGGAATTTCTACTTTATACAGTGAAACCAACTCCGAGAGTGCACTTAACGCTTCGAGCTGGTCCATTTAGTCTTAAGACCTGGCAATGCCCTCTTGTGGCCGATCCTGATATTTCACGTGGATGTAGGTTTTTTCGTGTGGGCCACACATTGTCTTCTGACATCTAAAACACTAGAGAGAGGGACAGAGTGAGCTTAATCGGAATAGAACAGAACACAGCAAGATACACACTCAGAGAGGGTGAGACAACGCACTGAGGCACAACACGAGAGAAGATACGTAACTTAAGGAAGGTGAGAGGGGAAAAGTAACAGGTGAGTCAGGGGGAGAGACGGGGTGAGAAAAAGACAGGAAAACTGAGAAATGTATATAAGCAAGAGACAAAAAGAGTGAGAGGTAAACAGAGGGAAGATAGAAAGAGACAAGGATTCTGTTCATGCCATGAGTTTATTTTACAGGTGTAAAGAAAGTACAGGGGACGAGCAGTCACAGGGGGTAATGACAGGGAAATTAGCAAAGGATGAGACTAGGGGGTAAGGGACAGGCAGGGGAATGATCTGGGGTCTACGAGAAGGATCGAGAGCCAGCGAGAGGGTTCAAGAGGAGGTGCGTGGCCAAGGGTCAAGGGATGGCCACGCTGAGGATAAAAGGGGTCGAGAGGAGAGGCTCGGGGCTGCTGCTGGAGTCGGGGTCTTCGCTGTCAAGTGAAAGTGTCTTCAATAAAGAACCATCAAAAGGCAGTCTCCTGGAGTTGTTACACAGGCAAGGTGGTTTAAATGGACCTTGGGGTTGGATGCTGCGTTCGAGACACCAGGCTGGCTCACACGTATGGGTTTCATCCCATACGTAACGACTCTAATTGGACAACACCTTCATATACAGGGGACTGCAGTTGTGGTTCCTCGCACCTCCGAGTAGTTCTCTCTTCAGGAGTGAGCTATTAAGATAGTACTGTTCAATTAGATCCTCGAGTTTAGGGAGTTATCAGCCTGGTCACCAATGGCTGCCCAAAAATAAACATTAAATGTGGGTTTCACTTAATCTATTTTAATTGAACAGACATTTAAACAATATTTCCGACAAGCAATTAATACTTTTTTTAGGTAATAACATTTTTCGATTTGTGTTTATATCACTGTTAAATGAAAATATAGAGCTTATGTGCACCTATATCTAACTTTAGATTTGAAGCTTTCGTGACTGCAAGGATTCACTTGTCTTTTTCGGTAAAGTCACGTAGGTAAAATAAAATGAAAACTAAATGAAATCACGTTTAGGAGGCAACACAAGCTTCCGTATTCAGGTGGAACAGTCACTTGATACAGATATTTTTCTGTGACTGTTCCACCTGAAGACGGAAGCGTGTGTTACCTCCGAAACGTCGTGATTTAATTTAGTTGTCTTCATTTATTTTATCTACGTGACTTTACCGAAAAAAAACAGAGTATGTATCTAACTTGTCATATTACAGTTGCATTGTTTTTCTTCACGTCTGGTTCGCGTACCAAAGTCATATACCTCGATCGTTATTTGTGCAATATTCCTTAAAGATCCTGTACTTATTCTCTGTAATATTGACGTCTTTGTTGTTGTTGTTGCTGTGCTTGTGCACTGCTGTATGGATCTCCCTTGTAAAATAGCCAGGAAACTGGCTAAACGGGATCATCCTTATTCGAGGAAATTCCAAGCCAATTCTGACATCTTCCACAGCTATTCTCTGACACAACATAGTACACTGCTCTCTGTGAGAGTATATTCATTTCATGACATGATAAAGATAAAAGTGGAATATAACTGGTATGAAAAACAAAACTCTATTATTGACAAGTAAACGCCTCTTTTTCTCTGTCGGTCTTTGATCCATCTATTCCTATTTGTCTGTCGCCTCCCCGTGCCTCGTTGCGCACTTTGATCTCACATTGGATAAATAAATGCAGTTATCTACGTCATATAGAAATGTAAGGAGTTGGGCAGTTCGCAATTAATGTGGTGACCATGGTTCACATCAGAGGCAAGCGGTTATCTGAACTGGTCTTTGGGAAACCTTTCTAAATCTGCATTGACCAGCAAGGTGAAGTATAGTGATCTAGGGCCGACATAGCGTGGGGAGGTCTTCATACAACACTGGATTTCCAAATAGATCTAAATTAGTTTATTTTCTTTAAACATGCCTGTACGAGTCTGTGATCATGCATTTGTAATATGTAAAATATACAAATTCTGGTTAACAGACCTGCATATGCACAGGTACACACAACAATGTAATTGTGGTACAATCGGTGTATGCATTTGAATAAAAATATCAAAAACCTGGCATCAATGTGTAGTGGCATAGAATAATACATTTAGCAGTATAGCGCTGGCCTGCTGGCAGGGAAGGGGATCTGTGGCTTACAACAGGCCAGGCGATACACCAGAGGGGGATATCTGGGGAGAAAGGTTACAGAAGGGGGCACAGGAGGAAGCCCTGGGAACCCGCTGGCAAGTTCTGGAGGGCGCGGCCGGGGCGGAGCGAGGCCACGCTGGGAGCATAAAAGGGGGCCCTGAGCGAGAGCTCGGGGCTGTCGTTTGGAGTGGGATACCCGTCGTGCTGTTGAAGATCGTCGCCAGGGTCGCTGTCGTCTTCACTCGATATTGCGCTGCTAGACAGTAGTTGGCCGTCTCGGTTCAGCACCGTCAGTGTTTGACGGCTCGTGTTGTGGATAGGCTAGCAAACCCACGTAGAGTTGTGTATAAGCTAGCGACAGAAGAGTGTGGACCAGCGTAGGGTGTGTATTATGCAAAGGGTGCTCGGTAAAATAAAAGAAGTGCCTCCAAGTCTAAGCGTCTCCGAGTTAAGTCACTACAAATGCATTAAGCATGGTTGGCATGGGTCCTGATACTTGAAAGCTCTGAATGCGGGCAGGCTGTTCTACGAACACAACAAAACGAAAAAGGTTCAACACATACATATAAAACGATCACCACCTACACAACACCACCAATACAAGTAACACAAACCGAATACCTCACCACAGCACTCGTTCCACAATTAGACCACCAAGAACAAGACCAGCACCACACCACCACCGAATGAACACCACCAAGCCTCAAATGCCCCCAATACAACAAAACCACCACCACGACCACAACACCACAGAACCACAAACAGCAACACAGAGACACGTGTAAATAAACTACAACACTCGGGACTATCATAACAGATCACTGTCAGAAAGTAACTCTGATACAAGACAACTGTGTTTTGAGTTATTTTATTTCATGTTGCACAAATGATTCCGAGTAGCCAACTTACCGGATACTTTACAAGGGAAGGTCCGTGGTACGTGAGCACAGCAACATCATCAGTATCGCAGAGAACGAGTTCAGGGTGCTTAAGGAATATTGCACAGCAGAAGGGGTAACACATTTATAGTGGCCATAACAGTGTGTGACCCAACAACCCTCGCTCCACATTACTAGGTTATGGGCCACGTACAGGACAGCCACCAGCGTGAGAACCTACAGCACCGAGTTAGAGAGCTCACGACACAGAGACACGAGTGTGTGAGAGAAGCGAAACCCGTTCAAACACTTCCCACACACCCCGCACATCTCCCCGATAATTTCCATACCAGGTCGCGCGCCTTGGCCGGCCGCAGAGTCCAGGCAACAAAGTAGGCACCGCAGAATACTAGGCTGCGCGCACGCGATTCCCGCGGCCGCGATGCTGAGGCGGGGGGAGACCGACCCCGTCACGGGACATCTCGAGCTTTCTTGCACGGCCCCGGCTTCTCCATGGAGATGAAATAGATGTGGGGAGGACACGGATACAGAACGCGGGCGTCTATGTACAGAAGCCGTGACAGTGGGACAGTGGCCACCATTGAGGTATGGCCCGTGTTGGGGGAGTGGCGTGGGAGGGGCGGGGCCACAGTTTGGAGGGGGCGTGGCTACGGCGGAAGGGGGAGGAGCTGGGCAGGCGAGCGTCATTACGTGGGCGGGGCGACGTTACTCTGACGTCACTTGATTGGTGACGACAACCTGGAGCGCGTTTGGTCCCCCACGACGGCCGCGTGCAGCAGAATCAAGTCTCCCAAACTTTAAGATATTTTTGTTATTCTCAACGCAAGGTAATAACCTTTATTTATTTATTTATTAGGGAAAACATAAAGCTGTTATTTAGACCAAAATTACAAGGACAGTGGTATCTCGGTATACGCCGTTAATTCGTCCCATAAGCTAGGAGGACTTGTACCGAAAATGACGAATACCAAACGAATTTTTCCCGTGAGAAATAAAGGGAAATAATCCGTTCCAGAGTACAGGAAATTATATTTAATATGGCATATTATACATTAATGAGGGTGTATAAAATAATTTAGACACTACATAAATTAAAATAAATGCGTAAATAAATTAAAATAAATTTAAATAAAAATATAATTTATCGTCACTTTATCTTGCTGAGAGGAGTGAAAATCGCAAAAAACACGTGAAATTCATACTCTTTGGTTCTATTCGGTAAAGTCACGTAGGTAAAAAAATAAAACAACAAAAATCACGACGTTTCGGCCATAACCAAAGAGTATGGATCCTTGCAGT